CCAAAACCGTCCACCCCTTATCCATAAGGGATTATAGCCTAAAGTACAACTATCATACACTTGACAGTTTATGCCCTTCTATTTAATTAATCTCTTTAAGTCACCAAATTAATTCCTAATTAATTTATGACTTATATTAATCAAATAACATTATTATTCCTTATAATATTTCTTCTCTCATTGTAAATCATCCTGTCAAGTTGCTATGGTGAAGGCAACCCAAAAGGACCATGCTCAATCAGGTCAAGTACTTACCAAATATAGTTGCAGCCTTAGACACTATTCCAACAATTTTACGTTCCTGTCAATTATTATTCATGATATTATTGTTATGTTGCTGCATTGTTATCAATAAGCATAAGTGCTCGGGTATTATATTACTTGCTTATGACTAAGTTTTATGCCATCTACATACGTTGGAATTAGAATGGTAAATTGGAGGTCGTCCCCTCTAGATCAGGTTACTTCAGATGCGGTGACTGTAGCATGTATGTGTAAGAATCAGGAATGCCTCACTACTTTCGAAAGGTATCATTCGGGATTGATCAGTTAAATCCTTAGTAGTGACAATTTAGAGCTTCTCGTGAGGTAGCCAACAAACAGTAGGGAAGTGGGTTGGGTATGTGCACCCCAAACGCAGGTTCTCAGGATGCAGTCCCTAAAGAAAATATAGTTAAGGATTGAAGGGTGCTCAGTTAGATAGCAAGAATGGTTCGGATCTGGTAAAAGTTATTTGGAGCACCGACAGAGGTAAACGTTGGTGGACAGCAGATTGCCCTTTTAATGGAAGGAAGGTTGGGGAATCCTTTCGACCAGTGAGTAGTAAGGAGTTAGCCGGATCCAAGTGGGGGAGAACCCTCCGAGTATTCAAGGGTAAGAGCATGCAGTTCCAGAATGAGTACACGACCTCTGAGAAGAAAAGATAGTAGTGCAGCAATTGATGGATTGAGGAGTTCAGAGTTGGGAGTTTGAGGAACTTCCCAACAATGAGTTCATGTGATCGAGATAGTTAGTAGTTGGTTGGGAATTCAGGGTTGGAGGACCGCCTGTAGGACACTAGTGAGTCGGAATGAGGATCTTGAGAACGGTTAGCATGAGATGCTTTCGTGTTAGTAGTCAGTGGTAGAGACGGCATGCAGGGTTGTGTGGATTCAGGAGTTGGGGTTTTGGAAACTTCCCAACAATAGTTTCATGTATCCGGATTAGTAGATGGTTGGTTTGGGAACCAAGCCGAAGAATTTCTTGACGGACCGCTAAGTGTATCAAGGATATAAGATGTCGAGGTTGATGCAGCATTCGATGACTGAGGGATGGTTTTGAGAAATCAGGATGAGGAATCACTAGTAGGACTAGGGATAGTCAGGATGTCATCGGGATAGTAGTAGAGTGTTATAAGTCTGTGGGGGTAGCCGTAGCATTCACTAGCAGTCAGATAGTAGTAGAGTGTTGTAAGTCTGCGGGGGTAGCTGTAGCATGCACTAGCAGTCAGATAGTAGTAGAGTGTTGTAAGTCTGCGGGGGTAGCTATAGCATTCACTAGCATTCAGATAGTAGTAGAGTGTTGCAAGTCTGCGGGGGTAGCCGTAGGATTCACTAGCAGTCAGATAGTAGTAGAGTGTTGTAAGTCTGCGGGGGTAGTAATAGCATTCACTAGCAGCCAGATAGTATTAGAGATTTGTAAGTCTGCGGGTGTAGCCGTGGCCTTTATCAGGTTGGTAGGCAGCATGAGCGCGTTGTTGACCGCGGGGGAAGCAGTTGTACCCACCAGTTCGGGTGCAGCAGTGAGGATATGGGAATCCACAGGTTAGATTTCAGATTTCCCAAATGGTTTAGTTATGGTTAAGTCGGCGATTTGTTAGTGCATCGTCACCACAGTTATGAGATCAGGGAAGCAGTGGACTGTTTAGGTTCATGTATGTTAAGGGCTACCGTTAGTCTGGGAGCCACCATTTTTAGTCTTGGATTTGATGATGTTAGGATTCGACACATGGACCCGGTCGGTTAGATTGGGAGGTTGTTAGAGTCACAGTGTCAGGATGACTAGTGGAAACTAGTTCCAGAGAAAGAGTTCATTGATATGTGTATTTTTATATATATTTTTATGCACTTTATCTTAATATTTTGGCCTTATTTATTATATTTTAGAACTAAAGAGTACTCATAATGCTTTGAATTATGTTTTGCAGCTATTTGTTGTCAGTAAAGCACAAGAGAAAAGACTGAAGCGGAAACCGGGCTTAGAAGCTAAAAGGAAGAAAATGGGGGCTGAGGACGCGGTTACGCCCCGCGTAACTTAAGAGTACGCCCCGCGTACCGGCTTGCAACAGATATACATGATCGCGTGTATATCCATAGTACGCGCCGCGTAAATCTGAGTACGCCCAGCGTACTTAGGTCGGCCACAAAGATTATAAATATCGATTTTTAGCTAACCAGGAAGGGGGATTTCGACTTCTAACCTAATTTAGTCGACAATTAACTTCTGTTAAGCCGTTTTGAGGGTCTAGAAGACGGCCGGAAGGCCATTAAGCTAACGGGAGCAGAGATCTGAAGGATTAGAGAGCGGATACATGTCGGTAATCATATGGATTGCTAACGTGACCATGTTTAGCACTTCCTTATGCTACTTTCTGTATTTATTTTCTGATTAGGGTGTAAAAACCTTTTACTTTGTGTTTATGATTGAATAAAGTTTTGATTCCTAGACTAATTGTGATGTTAAATAATTTATTTGTGTTTAATTTATCTTGCCAAGCTTGTTCAAAGATCCTCATGTGTTAATGATGATTATTTGCTGTTAGTTGTTAAGTGAATTAAGTTGTATGAAAACCTGCTTGATTTGCTTGTCTCTTATGATTTTTGATGACCATTGAGATTATAAGACTAGAAATAACGAATGTGAAACTAGGATTAACATGGGAATAAATAAGTTAATGTGTGAGCCTTGTTGGATGACCATCAACAAGAGGTTAATTAAATGTTTAAATTAACTAAGTTTACAAGTCTTGCTTGATACGAACTGAACACTAGGAAGCATGTTAGTTTAATCAATTGATCACTGTTTGAATTAACTTGTTTGCTAAAGGATTGGTTATAGTGAACATGAATCTAATCAATTTAGGAATCGGTGAACTTGAATAAATGAATTTGTGCATGCAATTGTCTATGTTTTCAAGGTGGAATTTGTCTAAACCAAAGTACCTAAAGAGATTTGTTTTTCCTGTCAGTTTATCGAGAATGGTTAATTAATTATTAGTTTGAGATTTATTAAATTATTCTTTTCGTGTGACATATAACCTATAATTAAATATATTAAATTAATCCACCGTTCCCTGTGATCGACACCCGACTTACCTAAGCTATACTGTAATCTGACTAGGTACACTGCCTATAAGTGCATAGATAGTCTAAGTTTGTTAGGTTATAAATATTAAAATTAGTGGGTACTTTTGTGCACAACAAGTTTTTGGCGCCGTTGCCGGGGAACGGCTTGTCATTAATTTATTTTATTTGATTATTCGTTATCTGTTTTTAGTTAGTTCTCAATTTTTTTTAGTTTGATTTTCGATGATATCTTTTCACTTGTCGGGAAGGTTCTTGTTTTTATTTTGCAGGAATTTGGGATTGTACACATTGCTTGACTTTACTTTTTGCATGGGTTTCGAGAATGAAAGCGATTAGGGAATTCTTGACCTGCTTAGCCTACTACTTTGTTGATTTGTCCAACTCAATCCATGAGGCGTAGTATAGCAAGGCGTATTGTGGTGGTTAAGTGGAAGACCAAGCTCTTGCTGTTCTTGACTAGTTAGGTCACTCCTTGTTCCGCTTCTAGTTAATGGTGCAAGGAAAACAAAGGAAATATTCTAACGGGTCCCGAAAGTGGGTGTTTTCGCAAACCAATTCTTGCATGCAAAGGTTTTTGATCAACCATTGTTGTTTGATCTTGACAAAGATAAGTGATTATGACATTTCAATTTTTTTATCACTCATCGTGAAGTCTTCATTAGCTTAAGGAAATTAAAAAGAAAAAAATTTAAATAAGTTTTAAGTCCTAGATGAAATGATTAAAAAAAGAAAAGGAAATTCAATTAAAAGAAGAAAGGGAAATTTTCCTTTAAAATTACGCCCCGCGTAAGTTTAATTACGCCATGCGTAATATGCTCCGGATCGCGAATGAACATCTCAGGGGGGTTGGGGTACGCCCCGCGTACTCTTGCATTACGCCCCATATCTTTTGACCTGTTGACTTCTTCTTTATTCTTTTCCCTCTTCTTCTCTCGTGCAAACTGTGACGGCAGCTTCTCTCCAACACTCTCGCTTCTCTCTCGTTTCTTGTTAAATCCACCACACGGGTAAGTATTTCGGATACTCACTAGCTTGGATTTGTGTTTAATTCGAAGGAATAAGCTGCATTCGGCTTTTGCTTGAAATCTAGGGTTTATTTATTTTTCGAATTAGGGTCGATTTTGCAAATGTATGTGTTGATTAGGGCTTGAATGGACCGATTTCGGTTAATACATTAAACCCTCGAGCTTAATTTTGTCTAATTTCCGTCCCACATTCATCGATTCGAGCTTGGGGTCGTTCGCCAAGCGTACCCCGTGACTGCGAGTTCTTGATTCTGGATTCGAATGTTTGACTGTTATGCATGTTTCCCTGTTAAATGTTTTCATATGGAATTGATTTTTTGGTCATAAGTTTAAAGGGTGGCTCCGATTTTTTGTTTTTTACTGCTTTGGACCTCAAGGTTGGTTCCCCCATGTGTTTGATCTTACTGGACCACCTGCTTATATATTTGAATTCGGTGAATATGGATATGGTTTATTTTAGCACAAGCAAACGGACCAGGACACAGAATCTCAAGCCTGGACGTACGCCCAGCGTACTGACCCTATCCAGTTTCATTATTTTTGGTTTGAAAAAAAAAATAAATAAATAAATAAAATATTGATGCTGCCATATTTTGTGGGTTTTGTGTTTTTGTGTTAATATGTGCAGATTATGGCTCGAAGGGCACAAAGAACCAACCCTCCCGAGGATGTGACCGATCATCGCTTTTTACAATTTCCGCAAACTCTGAGCGATGCTACCCGGGCGCGTTATGTCACCAACTTGAGCCTGCTTCTCACAAAGGAGATTGATATTGCACCCTCTTTCGACTGGGAGTTGGCTGCCAGGACTGGACTTGCTGCATTGATCCAGGAATTTTTGCAATACACACACTCGGACGCGAGTGGTGTGGAATTGTTTGTGTGTCAGGGATGGGCGCGGTTGTTCAGGATCCAGGAGCCGGTGTATCGAGAGTTTTTGCTGGAGTTCTATGCTACAGTTTCCTATGATCCTAGGAAGCCACTCAATGACAGGACAGCCTTTGCTTTCAGACTGGGAGGAGTGAGCCGGGAATGCAGCGTGATAGAGCTTGCTACTCGGGTGGGTATTTACACAGCCGATGAGACAAGGAGTGTCCACTTCCCGACATTTCTTGCTGATTGTCTCACGGAGCGGCCGGAGGACTACAATGAGAACACTTTTTGGGCCGAGATTACAGGAGGAATTTATACCCCATCTACCGCTCGAGGGGGGATGATTCGGTCTACTACATACCGAATGTTGCACCGGTTGATTTCTATGTCTCTCACACATCACAAGAATAGTGAGAGAGTGCCTTCGACGGACCTGTATTTCCTATGGGCATTAGTTACTCCAGGGAGGCACCTGAACCTTCCAGTTGCTTTAGCTGCATACTTAGGACGGAGGGCCAGGGGACTTCGGGGAGATAGCCCGATATGCGGAGGGCATTTTATCACACGATTAGCTCGATCATATCAGTTGATGACACGTGAGATCACGAGATCGATGGTGTTTCACGACATGAGGCGGATGAGTCTTCAGCTATTGGAGTCGATGCGCGTATTAGAGCGGGGTGGAGATGGTGTTTTGAGGGTTCGAGTAGATGATGTGGCGGATGAGGAGGGTGCCGCCGAGCCACAGCCGAGACGGGTCCCGCGGCGTAGACCTGCTCCTCGGGGAGCGCAGCAGGGACCTGAGCCGGAGATTGATATGCGCTACTTAGCTCAAGGCATTGATCGTCTTGACTTGAGGGTCCAGAACCTTAGCGAGTATTCATTTAGAAGTTGTGGGAGCGACTAAGTAAGGAGTCTTTGGGCTCCACAGTTGAGTTGAAACTCAGTGTTGCAGATAACCGATGAATGATTGGAGACCAGGAAGGTCTTGAGATGTTGTGGGAAACAGCCATTCAGCCAGTTCAGTGCTTCAGTCAGTTCAGTGTTTCAGGTAGTTCAGTGTTTCAGGAAGTTCAGTATTGTAGGCAGTTCAGTGTTTCAGATAGTTTCACATTGTTGGCCAGTATTAGTATTTGTGTTGGAATGCAAGTGCTGACGGTGTAGTTGGTCGATTTGAAATGGTAAGTCGCTCTCAGCAGGATCAGTTGAGTCTTCTACCAAGTATAAGTGATCTGCAAGGATAATTAGGCAGGTATCCTTTCTTTCTAGATAGAAGGCTCGAGTTATTGGAAGTTGAGTAGTCAGATGAGAGATAAGCAGGCTGGTTCCAGCAGCATCGATTCAGTATGAGTGGCAGAGTGGGTAGAACAGTTATAGATAGTCGAGGTTGTAACAGCCCGGAATTTTCAGGTATTTATTTTGGATTCTTTTTATGGAAATTGTGAGTGGACTCGGCGAGTTGGAGCCCAGACACGCCGAGTAGGATCGCGGATTTGGGCACGGGTTCGCATCCGGACTCGGCGAGTCCACGTTGTGTGGTGAAACCCTAATTTCCGGGGTTTGCGGCCTATTTAAAGGGCCTTATGGTCGTCATTTGTGCTCACCCAACCCTTAGAGAGAAACCCTTGTGTGCTTGAACGTTTTGAGAGAGAAAGGAAGCATTCTTGACCCTTGTGTGTGTCATTTAGCAAAGAAGGAGAAGATTATAAGCAAGAGGAAGCAAAGGAGGTTGCTATTCTGTGGATTTGAAGCTTAGATCATCAATCTAGAGGTATTATTTCGGATTACTTTCTGTTTTGTGATGAATAATGGGATCTAGGGTTTCTTATGGACATTTATGGGATGATTTGATGCCAAATAGTTCCCTTCTTGTGTTGAGGCTCTGGATCTGGATCCATAGAGGTCCAGAGAGCCTCATTCTTCAAGCTTTATGTATAGCAATGGAGTTTATGACCTTGGGTTGTAGTATTTGAGACAAAAACATCATTTATGGTCATATAGAGATTGTATGTGCATCAAGATAGTGACTTTACGTGCTAAATATTCTTGGAAGGACTGGATCTATGGTTTAATGGATTGGATCTGACCTTATGAGCAAGTTTGAGTCATTGCATGGCACGAACTCACCGAGTCCAAAGAACAGACTCAGCGAGTAGTATGAATGTTGCCCGACCACACAGCGAGTGGTCTTGCCGAGTCGGGGAGGGTTGACTCAGTGAGTCAGGGGGGAAATCTGAGTGGACAGGTGGACTGAGTCAAGCTGGACTTGCCGAGTTGTTCTTGAGACTCGGCGAGTTGAGTTGTGGTGGCCCCACAACTCCTGCCAGGTGGAACTAATCGAGTTGGGAGGATACTCGACGTGTCAAGCGAGGATTTCAGGGAAATCAATGTATACGCTCAGACTCGCCGAGTCGCTATTGTGCACTTGCCGAGTCCGGTCAAAGTTGACCGTTGACCGTTGACCTAAGTTGACTTGTTAAAGAGTAGTCAACCATAGTTGGGAAAGTGTTAATTAGAGATGTATTGTGATATAGGAGGACTTTAGCTCGGGGGATCGAGCACTAGTGATTTCAAGATTCACGACTTACCGAGACGCGAGGTGAGTCTTTTCACTATACTTTACCTTGAGTAGGTAACCAGAGTTATGTGATAGAGTGTCTGTATGTTATGTATGTTATGTGTTGTACTGCATTATTTCTATGTGATTTATGTTGTGCTTGTTTACAGAGTTACAACCTGATGGTTCACAGAGTTTGGGTGCATGGACCCACAGAGTTATAGCCTCGAGTGGCTAATATGTGTTATATATGGTATTTTGGGGAACTCACTAAGCTTTGTGCTTACAGTGTTTGATGTTATTGTTTCAGGTACTAGTGACGACCGCGGGAAGGCGCCGGCTTGATCCGTACATACACACGGAGTTTATACGTTTTTGATCTTGGGATTTTGTATTTACTTGAATTGGATAATTAATATGGTTGTTTTATGAATATTAAATTAATTATGTTTTACGAAAATTTGAAAATTTTGTTTTGAAATTTACAGTGTTACAGAGGTCTCTTCAGAAGTCGCTGAAAGCGACTAGGAGATTGCGATGGGGTGTACTAACTGGTAGGAGTCCGGTAACCCAGATAGGGAGACATCAGTAGGGACCAGGGTGGTCTCAGTTCATCCAGAAGGCTATTAAGGGACAGCAGAAACTTTCAGTCAGTGGCAATAATGGAAAGCAGACTATGGTAGAATTCGATTAGTTGATTGATGGGTACTCAATACTAAGTAGGGAAAAGTGTTCAGTGCATAGCTAGTGGTAAGCAGTAAGTGGGTTGTGAAATAGTTGGTCGTGGTGGACTTCGAGGACGAAGTCTAGTTTAAGTGGGGGAGAGTTGTAACACCCAGAATCAGGAAGACCAAGAAAAGAAAGGTTAAGCTCTAAATCAAGAGTCAACTCGTCGAGTCCAGGGAGGAACTCGACGAGTCGGAGCGGGATCTGAGTCATTGAGTAAGTGACCGACTCGGCGAGTCTGGTCTGGGCGAGAAAAACCCTAATCCCATAGGTTGTGCCCTATATAAAGCACATTATAACCCACCCTTAGCCTCTTTGCTCCCCTTTTGAGTTCCAGAAACCCTAGAAATGAGTGAGCCTTCATTATTAGAGAGAATAGAGCCTTGGAGGAGAGAATCTTGGAGAGCGGCTTGAAGATCAAGGGCTTTGCTGCAAAGGAGTGGTGTAGATCCGGGATTTACTTCAGTTGGAGCTTTCATTTGAGGTAATAGTCTGTTCTTTCGGCTTATGTGCATTTAGATCTATCTTATGTTTGAGTTTTGGGCATTTTGAGTATGGATGTAACATCCGGAATCCCAGGTATATTATTTAAATATTTATTTTGGATTATGTGAAGGAACTCGGCGAGTTGATGCGTACACTCACCGAGTAGGGTCGTGGTTGATCATCCGGGTTAGCATTGGACTCGGCGAGTCCACGATGTTTAATGAAACCCTAATCCTCCGGGGTTGGAGCCTATTTAAGGGCACTTTTAGCCTTCCATTGCAGCTACCAGTCCCTTGAGAGCACCCATAGTGATCTATATAGTTTAGAAGGAAGGAGAAGCCATAATTGACTTTTTATCCTTGGTTTGGCAAAAAGAAGGTGATCAAGAGAAAAAGGAGGCTGAAGGAGGTGTGATTCAAGTGGTTTCAGAGTCTAGAGACTTCAACTTGAGGCGGAGGCTAGATCGTATTTCTACCGAGTCAGTGATTTACCTAGATATCAGAGGTGAGTCTTCTCACTATACTGTACCTGGAAGGGTACCTATGTGTGACCGGAAGGTCGAATATGCTATATGATATATGCATTGTATGTGATTAGTTGCCCGTTTTGTATGTGCTATGTATGCTATGCTTGATATGGGCCGGAAGGCATTGTGATGTGGATCGGAAGGTCGACATTGGTAGGACCGGAAGGTTTACCGGGTTGGGACGGAAGTCCCCTGAGACAGATGGACCGGAAGGTCATGTCCTGGAAGCGCGTACGTGTGGAGGTTGTATTTTGGGGAACTCACTAAGCATTTATGCCTACAGTTGTTGTGTTATGTGTTTCAGGTACTAGCGAGGACCGTGGGAAGGCGCCAGCATGATCTGTACACACTGACGGAAGATTTATTTTAGGATATTGGGATGTATTTTACTATGATGACATTTGCTAAACATGAGACTTTAGAATGTTATATGATGGTTTATATTGTTTGAGAAATGAAAAATTGTTTTAAAAATTCACGTTGTTACAAGTTAGTATCAAAGCCTTGGTTTGAGGGATTCTGGTGCACCTTCAGGCGTAACTGAACTCAAACCGAGGATTTGAGAAAAAATTTCCAATAATAAAAATATAAAATTTTATAAGAGGTTTTGAGATAACCAAAGAAGGAGCAATGTGTACGATCAGCCAGCACCCGAACGGTAAACCCAAAATACCCTTACAATATGTGTTATGAAATATGCTATGATATGTTATGCATGCTAGAGCAGACTAGGTATTCATATTAGGACTAGAGTGGCCTAATTTGTGATGCCTTAGTCTAGGAGAATCCTACTGCTATGAGATGCTTTGAGAGAGAGTAGGTATCCAATGCATAACGAGAATAAAGTACTTGCATTCCGGGATCCAAGGAGGAGGACTTGGGGTGAATGTTGATGCGTTGTAATCAGTAGTATATGGCCCGTACTACTGAAGACACCAGATCAGTGGGCAGCCCAAGTAAGAATCCTTTGGGTATTAGAGGCCGAGTAGGGTTGTGTTAGCGAGTCCGAGTATGCTCGATCTAGTCTCTGATATTTTTATGTTGTATTTCAGAGGCATCATAGTTGGGACACACCACAGACCTGGGACGAGCGGTGTGAGTGACAAGGAGCTTCATCAGATGATCCACGTTGAGGTGGCTGCGGCAATCAGGGCCGAGATTCCGGAGATATTTGGGTCTATCAAGACCATACTGTTGGAGACTTTTGATAAGTTGTACGCCGCGGTGACTGAGGCCGCAGCCGCTGCAGCTGTGGCTGCTGCCAGACCTCAGGGAGGTGACTCGTTGTTGTTTCGGGAGTTCAGCAGCACGAAGCCACCCGAGTTTGATGGGATGCAGGATCCGATCGTTGCGATGAGATGGATTGCTAACATTGAGGGATGCTTCTATACGTGTTCATTTCCGGAGCATCTGAGGGTACAGTTCGCTTTGAACCAGCTCCGCCTAGGAGCGAAGGATTGGTGGAAGTTCGTGACAGCGAACTTCACTCTTGTAGAGATTTTAGCAGTGACCTGGGAGAGGTTCACTACCATGTTCAGAGATGAGTATGTTCCCCCGGTGGAGAGGGAACGGCTGATTCTGGAGTTCTTGACCCTTAAGCAGGGTAATGATTCGGTTACTATGGTCACCCGGAAGTTTCATGAGAGGGCGATGTTCTACCATGAGCAGGTGTCTACTGTGCAGGCACGGATGAGCCGGTATTTGGGTATTCTGAGGAGGTACATTCGGGAGTTCGTGTCGAACTCGACATACCGGACATTTTCTGAGCTCCAGGTAAATACCCAGAAGAGGGAGATTGAGTTGGAGACTCAGGCCAGGGAGTAGGCCGAGTCTCAGAGGATGGATCGGTGGCCGGCTCAGTCTCAGCCAACAGCCAAGTGGACCAAGTCCGCCGATTCGAGGATGAGAGGCCAGAAGGGCCGCACTTGCGGGAAATGTGGAAAGGGTGAGAGGCCAGAAGGCTCGTAGGAGAGCTTTTCAGTTGACTGCGGAGGAGGTCCGCGCGGTGCCCGATGTTGTGGCTGGTATGTATTCTTTCTTGTATTTACTTTCATGTTGAGATATTGTGCTTATACTATGATATGCGTAGGTACTTTTCTTGTGAATTCTGTACCTGCCTTGGTATTATTTGACTTGGGTGCGAGTAGGTCTTTTGTATCTTTGGCTTTTAGTCAGCACATCAGTATTAGTTGGGAGGTGATTAGTCAACCCCTGAGGGTTTCCATAGCTGATGAGAAAGCGGTGTATGATACCGAAGTGATTAGAGGATGCGTGCTCGAGATTTTTGGCATCAAGTTCCCAATTGATCTAGTTCCTATCGCGGTGGGAGATGTCTGTTTCATCGTGGGCATGGACTGGTTGAGTAAGTTTGGAATGGTTATTGACTGCGAGAGACAGCTGGTGACCATATGAGACCCTAGTGGGGGAGTGCTTACTATGTATGGCGAAGGGACCCGGTGTGGGTCAGCGTTTTGTTCGGCTGCCAGGGCGAGGCAGAGCTTGCAGCAAGGCTTTAATGGATTCATAGCTTATGTGATGGATACACGAGTGGCCGTGGGGAGGCCAAGTTTGATTGATGAGGTCCCAATAGTGTGCAAGTTTCCGGATGTTTTCCCCGAGGAACTACCGGGCGTGCCTCCGGAAAGACAAGTGGAGTTTCGTATCGATTTGGTTCCGGGAGCAGCACCTATTGCCAAGGCGCCTTATCACCTCGTGCCGCCAGAGATGCAGGAGTTATCCTCGCAGCTTCAGGAGCTGTTGGGGAAGGGGTTTATTCGACCAAGTAGTTCACCTTGGGGAGCGCCGATCCTTTTTGTCAAGAAGAAGGATGGTTCACACCAGATGTGTATTGATTACCGGGAGTTGAACAAGTTGACAGTCAAGAACCGATATCCGTTACCGAGGATCGATGATCTGTTCGATCAGTTACAGGGGGCATCTTGGTTCTCCAAGATAGACTTGAGGTCGGGTTATCATCAGATGTGGGTTCGGGATGAAGATATCCAGAAGAGTGCATTTAAAACTCATTATGGACATTACAAGTTTGTGGTTATGCCTTTTAAGCTCACCAATGCCCCAGCCGCGTTCATGGATCTCATGAACAGGGTGTGCAGGCCGATGCTGGATCGGTCGGTGATCGTATTCATTGATGATATTTTGGTATATTCGAGGTCTAGGGAGCAGCACGAGGAGCATTTGAGGGAGATTATTGGAGTTCTGAGATCGGAGAGGTTGTATGCCAAATTCTCCAAGTGTGATTTCTGGTTACGAGAGGTCCAGTTTCTAGGGCATATTGTTAACCAAAAAGGGATACTGATCGATCTGGCCAAGATCGAGGCGGTGATGAGATGGGAGGTGCCGAGATCACCCACTAAGATCAGGAGCTTTTTGGTATTGGCCGGCTATTATCTGAGGTTTATTAGGGATTTCTCCAAGATCACCGTGCCACTTACCAAGATGACCCGGAAGGGTGTTGAATTTTCATGGGGTCCGGAACAGCTGATACACTTCGCCAAAAGTTGTGCGAATCCCTGGTTCTCGCACTCCCGAAAGGGATGGAGGTTTTTTTTGTATATTGTGATGCATCAATATCTGGGTTAGGGGCAATACTTATGCAAAGGGGACACGTGATAGCGTATGCATCGAGGCAGCTGAAGCCTCATGAGTCGAGATATCCCACCCACGATCTGGAGCTGCAGGCTGTGGTGTTTGCCCTCAAAATCTGGCATCACTATCTGTATGGGGTTCGGTGTACCATATACATGGACCATAAGACTCTAACGTACTTGAT